TTAATATTAATATTAATATTAAAAAAGTTAACATTATATTAAATGTCAGAAAAATCAAATTAAATAATGTAGTCAATTTTCTTTCCATTTTCTTATCATTAACTTAAACTTGCATATCCGTTATATCTTGCTTAAGAAAAATATTATAAATTTCCAAAAATAATGGTTAGTATACGTTTCGAATTAATATAAATAAAAACTTTAAATTTCAATTTTATCAAATAACTAATAACAATTTTTTTATAAGTCTGACGAATTACCTGCCAAAAAATTCTCGCCGGAAGGGCGATTGTATCAAGTTGAATACGCAATGGAGACCGTATCATATGCAGGTAGCTGTGTTGGTATTGTAGCTGAAGATGGTGTTTTGTTGGCCGTGGAAGATGGTGGTGATACCAAATTAAGGGATACTACCGTTGTATGCACTGGAAAATTATTTCAACTTTCAAAGTGAGTAGCCAATATTGATTGTCTGGGTATTATAAATACTAATGAATATCTTACAGTGACACAATTTGTGCGATGTCTGGTGTTGCAGGTGACTGCCTTGTACTTACTACGGAGCTACAGGATACTGTATACGAACACGTTGAGGAATATGGTGAACAAATGCCATGTGAAGAATTGGTAAGGCATTTAGCCAGCATCATTCAGTCCTACACGCAATATGGTACTTATCGTCCGTTTGCCGTTTCAGCTTTATACATAGGATGGGATGAACGTTACGGTTATCAACTATTTCACTCAGATCCAAGTGGAAGTTATTACGGTTGGTTATGTACTGCTATTGGACGGGAGTCTGAAGTCGCAAAGAGTTTATTGGAGAAAGAATTGACTAAAACCGATTTCAAAACGAATTTGGAACTAGCTAAACAATTAGCTCTAAAAGTATTTTTAAAGATCTCCAAAAATAGTATAATAAACGAAGAAAATGTGAAAATAATGACTTTGAAACGTATCGACAATAAGATTGTTATAGAAAAAATTACGAAGGATGAAATAAAGGAGTTACTTGAAAATGTAGATATGTCATGTGATGAAGATAATTAGAAGAAATTAACGTCTAAAATGCAATCTTATTTTTATTGTTTGATTATACAATTATTAATCATAAACATTGTAAATGTTATTATGTTGTTAATTTTCATATAGTTTTAAAGCCAAAAAATTTATTCGAATAAAAAATTTGGTTTACAAATTTCTGCTACTTCAACTCATTTTACTCCATAGATAAAATTACAATTGAATACTTTTGTTATATACATCGGTTTTTTTATTGCTTTTAGTGATTTATCCATTCCAATCAATAGATCGTACCTATGTAAACTAATAGTTAGCAACCTAAACGAATAACCAATTCCTTATTTTCGCTATTTATTTTACTAGTATAATGCGATGTCCGAATAACTTGAGTACCTATACTCTACTGTTAATGTTTAAAAATTTCGATGCTTCATATTATTTTTGAGAACGGTTTCGATTCATTAAGATGCTCAGATAACAACGGATTTTTCTACAGTCAATCAATGAAGAGCCCTGAAATTATTTACGAAAACTGACAGGCTTACCAACTCCGCGTTATCGAATCTCAGAATGGTTACAGACTGTTCGGAGAGGTATGTAGATCTGAGGTCAATTATTGCTTAGTCTAATGAAATGACAAACAATAATGCAATCAGGGCGTAGAGTGGGGTTATGAAGAAACCTCAAAGTTAATTCGTTGAGATTCAATTAAGAGATACATTGCAAGAAAATAACATTTCTTGCAAAACAGGTGATTTGTATTTGTCATAATAAAATCAAAATAATACTATGTAAAATTAAAAAATTTTTAAAACATATCTGCAAATTGCTGAGTTTTATATATAGTATAAAGTATAGTATTAGATTACACATAGTATTTAAATTATTGCACAGGAATATAAAATTTTATTATAACAATTCAATTTTGTAAATGTGTTAAATAAATTAAAATGCTAAATTGTTAAAAGTAGTTGAGTCTACTGATATCTACTATCGAAAAGATGTGTCCGTGTAATCGGATTTTTGCATATCAATATTCTACAAATAATGTAATATGTGAACACCCTACTACAACTCGTGAGGTTTATTTAGTCACATTTTGATAAGTTTGAAAAAGTCTAACATTATCTATAATAAATTCTAACTTATACTCTAACTATTACACTTTAACAAAACGAATTATATGTTAAAAATACGATATAGCACAAATAGTATATAATAAGCAAAATAATTATCAGAAATATCAAGTTTAAATATACTAAACAACAAATAGATAATAATAAATTCAAGTGCAGAAATGAATTGGTTTATGATCAGTTATAAATGCTTTTCACGATTGTGAACTAAACTAAAGGAAATAACGTTTGGCAAAATAAATGCACTGTTCATATTGAACATAAAATGTTGTATATTAGATGATGTAAGAATTACATAAAACAATTCAAAGATTAACACAAGTGTGAATATGCAAATAATTCGCAATAAATATTCACTTAAATAGCAATCCAACTGTGGCACATGAACCGGAAATTGTGCGCAAATTGGTCAAATGGGTAACGCTTCATTATTGAACATTGCACTACTGCCAATAGTTAGCACCAAATACAAAAAGTTTAAATTGAAAACAAGCAGACAGATGCCGTCACGAGATGTAATTACATTATTAACAAGATATCTACAGAAAATACGACCGACCACTTCACAGGTAACAAAAAGTAAATAAGTAATCCAATAAAGGCATGAAATTGGATGTGGGACTACTTCAGTAAACTCAAGTCTTCCAATTAGTTTGTGGTCAACATAAAATGCAGCAGCACTCCACCATAAATTTTAGACTTTGATATATATTTTTATCGTATGCGAGGTGTCAATTTATCAATTTTATAAAAAGTTAATATACTTTTACATATTTATTTGATTTCATAATTAATATACTACTATAAGGTAATTTGTCACATGGAGGAAGTTTAAAATGGTGAGTCTATAAAACGTTAACAATTAAATTATTATGTTAATAAATTTATCTAACCGCTTTATATAGTCACTTTTAATGACGAATGTTTATTCAAGGCTGATATGGTCTAACGATGAATAATTTATATCATGTAATAGACAAAAGCCTAAACCAGTGTTTCCCAATGTGTGGTGTACACTTCACAGGTAAGCAATTTAACTATTTAGAAACGGAATTCCTGTTTAGGGAAGTGATTTTTGATCTTACGAAAATATACTACATTATTACAAACAAAGGTATTTGAAACACTAATATTTAGTATATTTTTTTTAGAAAGACTTTACAACAGATATAGATTGATACTCCTTTTGCAAAATATTACTCTTCAGTGCAATTTAATTTCTAACTGAACTGAAACACAAAAAATTAATGAAAAAAAGGAGATATTAGGATAAGTTTTACTAGAACAATAATTTTTCGTTAGCTGCAATTTGCTACTATATATATTATACTAAGACAGATAGGAGGCTACAAAGGTTCACAGATCTAGCATATCTCAAAAAAAGTTTGAGTAACGCTGCCTTAAGCTATTTCAAAATAATTGCAAATAAAGAGTAAAGATATGTAAAATAGTTTTCTGAAATCACTACAAGTCATACTTCTTAGAAACGTCAAAAGCTCTTCAATTTTTTATTATAGTTATTAGTATTCCATGCATTCTTCATTTAATATAATGCATACATATTTGCGTTTATATAAGAAAGTTAAATACAAAAAACATTACATATGAATAATTCAAATTGTGTTAAAATTATAACTAAACCATGAAAATTTTAAAACAGAAAAAAGCTGTTATAATTAAAACTGAAGAATTATATACATATATGTGAAGATGGATGCTTTTGTCAGTTTTTAGTTTTCTTTATTTAACATGCCAACATGCAAATAAACTTATCACAACAGTCGAGCATAAAATGCTTGGACTTAAATGCCTGAAAAGTTGAAACTATCGTAAAAATATTTACACTTATAATAGGCACTAAGCACCCAACCAAGTGTTTATTTAACTTTCGTTTTCAATACTGAAAGAAAATCTCCAAAGCAAGTCGTTTACGAATATTTTTATTTCCATATTTGTTTTTTTTTTTTAAAGCGCATAAATAAAACAAATTTTAAAATATAGTGAAATATAAAACATATATTGTAAAAATCTAAGATATAAAAGTTATAATAAGAACTTATAGAACTGTTTCAAAAATACAGACAGAATTCTCATTATCATTTGACTCTGCAGCTCACAATTTCCGTTTCATATATACCTTCTGCTCACCCTTTCTTGGTACACCCTTTCTTGATATATGGTACAAATTTGAGCGCCATCTGTCAATTAGTTTGTTTACAGCAGCTGTTAATGTAAGACTACCTAAAGTGCATTTCGCGATTTTTACTATGGAAAATTCTTATTGTACGCGATTTTTTGACCAAACACGGCACCACTGTCATCGCTTCAGCACTTATTCGCCCAGATCTGGATCCGTGCGATTTTCTGACTCCCTAAAC